GAGGCGGATCCGGTCGCAGCCGCGAGGGCACCCCCCAGGGCGGTCAGAATTCTCCGGTCGGCCATCCTCGGTCCTCGCTCCTCGGTCCTCGCTCCTCGCTCCTCGCTCCTCGCTCCTCGATCCTCGGTCCTCGGTCCTCGGCCATCCTCGGTCCTCGCTCCTCGGTCCTCGGTCCTCGGTCCTCGGTCCTCGGCCATCCTCGATCCTCGAGCCTCGCCCTGGAAGGTGACCTCCAGCCCCGACCTGGCAGGGGCGCGGATGCGCGAACCCCGGGCGGCCTCGGACGCCGCCGCGCCGCCGCCAGCGCGGCGCGAGCCTTCTGCCGCAGCGACCTCTGGCTCGAGACGCCGCGCGGGGGCGAGCCAGCACGCGCGCGGCCAGCCGGCCCAGGCCCCCGACGGCGAGGACATGAGCATTTTTCCTTCGGCGAGGACCATCGAGGAGCATCCTGGATCGCTTGGCGAGCCTTCTGCCGCAGCGACCTCTGGCTCGAGACGCCGCGCGGGGGCGAGCCAGCACGCGCGCGGCCAGCCGGCCCAGGCCCCCGACGGCGAGGACATGAGCATTTTTCCTTCGGCGAGGACCATCGAGGAGCATCCTGGATCGCTTGGCGAGCCTTCTGCCGCAGCGACCTCTGGCTCGAGACGCCGTGCGGGGGCGAGCCAGCACGCGCGCGGCCAGCCGGCCCAGGCCCCCGACGGCATCTTGGCATCGCTCGGGCACGTGCATTTTTTCTTTTCGGCGAGGACCATCGGGGAGCATTTCGGATCGCTTGGCGAAAAAAAAACGCACGACACCGAGAACAAGAGCACGGGGAAGGGACGTCCGAGCGATGGCGAGGACCATCGAGGAGCATCGAGGAGCATTTCTGATCGCTTGGCGAAAAAAAAACACGCACGACACCGAGAAAAAAACACAGGGAAGGGACGTCCGAGCGATGGCCAGGGCATGGCTTTCTCGCGCCGTCGACCCCCGCAGACCCCCCGGCTCCGGGCCTCGCCGTCTTCGCGCGCCGGGCGCCCTCGCCCGGCTTCCTCGGGCCCCATGGGGGGGCCCTCTCACGGACCGCTGCGGCCCGAGAGGCGCCGCAGAGGTGGCGTGTTTTTGTTGTCGCGAGGTGCTGCAGTTTTTTGCCGGCAAGGCCTGCTCTCGGGGGGTCTCGCCCCATGCCTGGGGGCCCTAGGTGTTCGTCCCGAGTCGTGTTTGGGCGGTCCTGGGCTCCAGGTGGCGTTTTTGTTGTCGCGAGGTGCTGCGGCTTTGCCGGCAAGGCCTGCTCTCGGGGGGTCTCGCCCCATGCCTGGGGGCCCTAATTAGGTGTTCATCCCGAGTCGTGTTTGGGCGGTCCTGGGCTCCAGGTGGCGTTTTGATTGTCGCGAGGTGCTGCGGCTTTGCCGGCAAGGCCTGCTCTCGGGGGGTCTCGCGCCATTCCTGGGGGCCCTAGGTGTTCGTCCCGAGCCGTTTTTGGGCGGTCCTGGGCTCCAGGTGGCGTTTTGATTGTCGCGAGGTGCTGCGGCTTTGCCGGCAAGGCCTGCTCTTGGGGGGTCTCGCGCCATTCCTGGGGGCCCTAGGTGTTCGTCCCGAGCCGTTTTTGGGCGGTCCTGGGCCCCAGTGGGGCCCCGGCGAGGGCCCCCAGAGGTCGAGAGTAGCAGCAGAAAGATCTAGGCCTCCTATATGGGGTCCGAGTAGATGGGGTCGGAGGATCGCGCCGCATCGCCGATGCATCGACGATGGGGCTCGATGTGGAGACCGATTTTCCCCACGCCGACGTCGCGGATGCGTCGCCGACGTCGCTGATGCATCGCCGATGCATCGCCGATACATCGGCGATGCATTGGCGATGCGGCGCGATCCTTCGACCCCATCTACTCGGACCCCATCTAGGAGGCCTCTAAAAGACGCCCGCCGTGATTCCCTGCCAGCGTTTCGCTGGAGGGTTCCAGGAGATCTTCAGAAGGGCCACAGCAGAGTCCCACAGGGGGGACGTGGAGCCCTAGACCGCCCGGTCCAGCAGCCGTTGCGCCTGAGGTTTCCTCGCAGTCTAGTCAGGCGCCGTGCTCTCGCCTCGATGCCGGCTCTTTATTTTTCGGGGGTCTCGGACGGCCACGATCCCTCAACAACAACAAAAGGTAGACTGGGGTGCACGTGGCCGTGCTCTCACCCTTGCCCCCCGCAGCCGACCTTCTGCTCCTCGACCCGCCTCTCCGCTTCTGCTGCTGTTGGTGTGCTTGGCTGGGGTGGTCCCGTTGATGGACAAAATCCTGCACCAGCCGCGCAACCGGGGCGACAGCGCAAACTTCCACGCCCCCCTGCCCCCGATTCAATGTTGATTGGCTGCGCCCGCGGGGTGCAGGACTCAGGCCAGTCGGCGCGGATCGACAAATCGCGCCACGGCCTGCCAATAGTAAATTGGGGGCGCGGGGGGCGAAAACAAAGATGAAAAACAAAGAGGTGCGGGATTTTGTCCATCAACCGTTTGTCCACGCTGCGAGGGGGTCGTCGGGCCAGCTGCCGGGGTTTCCTGCCCGGCCGCGAGCGCCGCGGCCCCCGCCCCGCGAGCGGCCATGATGGCCGCCAGGGCGTCCCGGGCGCCCCTGGACCGCGGTCCGACGTCCACGGAGCTGCAGAAGGATCGGCTGCGCGTCGGCGACGTCGTCGTCGTCGTCGTCGTCGTCCGTCGTCGTCGTCGTCGTCGTCGTCGTCGTCGTCGTCGTCGTCGTCGTCGTCCGTCGTCGTCCGTCGTTGTCCGTCGTTGTCGTCGTTGTCGTCGTCGTCGCCGTTGTCGTTGCCGTCGCCGTCGCCGTCGTCGTTGTTGTGGTGGTGGTCGTCGTCGTCGTTGTTGTGGTGGTGGTCGTCGTCGTCGTCTTCGTCGTTGTTGTTATGGTGGTCGTCATCGTCGTCTTCGTCGTTGTTGTTGTTGTCGTCGTCTTCGTCGTGGTTGTCGTCGTCGGTTCGCGGGGGGGGGTCCAGCCTTGGGATACGTTACAGCAGCTGCTCCTCGCCGAGGGCCTTCCAGGAGTGCCCGAGTCGTCCCGAACGGCCGCCAACCCCCCGAAGTGTGGCCCGAACGCCCGGCGACGGGGCTCACGCGGGTCGGCTGCACACAGGAGTGACCCGTCGCGGGAGCGACCTTTGGGGCGCGCAGCTTTCGGAATGGCGCGGGGAGGGGGGGGCAGGCCCACGAGGAGTGGCCACCGCTGCCGCGGCGGAGAGGACCGCATGCGGGCGCGTGCGGTCAGACGACGGCCAGTCGCCCCTCGATCTCAGGCTGCGGAACGGCCAGGCTGTCGTGCTTTGCGGTGCTCGACGGGTCGGCGGAGTTCATAGACTTGGCTGCGTCATGCAAAAAAGAACACACAGCTGTCGCATCGCGTACAACCAGATCCGCCATATATATATATATATATATACATATATATATATATACATAGACACCCTCCATTTGATTGTTCCTGGGTCTCAGGGGAGGGCGGCGGTGTATACGTCACCGTCGAGAGCCAGCGACTGTACACGCCGCCACCCTCCCCGAAGGTACTCGCAAGATTCGTCGGAGGGTGCCTGTATGTAGGTAGGTAGGTCGGTCGGTAGGTAGGTAGGTAGCTAGGTAGGTAGGTATGCATGCATGCATGTATGCATGTATGCATGCATGTATGCATGTATGCATACGTATATATCTATATCTATATCTATATATATATATATAGATATACATATACATCTATAGGTGTTCGTGGCTGGGGCACCCTCGCCGCGCCCGCCGCGAGGAGGCTGCGGAGGAGCTGAGCAGCGCGCTGGACGGGGAGCCAGCCAAGCCCGCGCGCTGGCCGCGGGCCTCGGGCGCCCGTGGGCGGCCTCCCGCCGCCGGGGACCGGGAGCCCCCCCGGCCCCAAAACGGCCCCCAGAGGGGCCCAAGAGGGGCCCGAGAGGGGCCCAAGACGCCCCAAGAGGGCCCCAAAACGGCCCCGAGAGGGGCCCAAGACGCCCCCAAGAGGGCCCCAAGAGGGCCCCAGGACGGCCCCAAGAGCGCCCAAGAGGGCCCAGGAGGGCCCCAGGACGGCCCCGAGAGGGGCCCAGGAGGGGGAACACGAACCGACAATGCAAGCCTTCGGCCACAAGAGGCGGCCAAGAGGACCCCTGGGAGGCACCCAGAGGACCTCAAGAGAGCCCAAGAGGCCCCCAAGAAGCCCCTCGAGCTCCCCAAGAGACCCAAGAAGAAGACCCAAGAGGCTCTACACGAGGAATTTGCAAAAATAGTCAAACAGATAGTCAGGGGACGATTTGTTATTATTTGTTGACCGTATTTGAGTTTTTTTTGGGGGCTATTTTTTATTTGTCCTCCAAAGTCTGCCTGTAGGGGGACATGCCTGACCTAACCCTTGGGCAGCAAATCATGGGAGCCTGGTGTGCCCTCTCAATTCCGTCTTGAGCGTCGATTGGCGTCGAGGAGGAGGAGGAGGAGGAGGAGGAGGAGGAGGAGGAGGAGGAGGACGAGGAGGAGGACGAGGAGGAGGAGGAGGAGGAGGAGGAGGAGGTAGCGCTGATTTGGCGTCGATGTAGCGTCGATGTAGCGTCGGTCAGCGTCGATTTTGCGTCGGTCAGCGTCGATTCGCAAGAGCGGACAAGATGGTATGGGAGGCTACCATGAGTTGCCACCGCAGGGTGACCCTGAGATCCGACGTTGCGAGCAAAGATGCGACAGCCCGAAAAGTAGCGACTGAAGCCCTGGGCCCCATATTTCTGCGGCCCTTCTCGAGCCGGATCGATCGGTGAGGGCCCCAAGGTCCGAAATTGGGCGAAAGTAGCCGTTGCGAAAAAGATGCGCCGCCGGGATCTCAGGGGAGGGGCGGGGTGTCAGGCCGTTGGCGGAGGAGCCGCCTGAGAGGCGTCGTCGAAGCCCGCGGCTGCGTGCGTGGTCTTCTGGCCCTCTGCCGGAGACCTCTGTCGCCAGCTTCCTCACGGCGGCTGCGGACGCGCGCCGCAAGACGGCCGCCTCGGCCCAAGAGGCTACCGTGGCGCGGCTGAGGTACCAGCTGGATCAGGCGAGTGGCGCAATTACCCTGCGACGTACCCAACCCACGTGCATCAAATGGCAAGAGGAGTATGCCAACATTAGCAGGAACAACGACAGTGTAGACGCGGCGATTTGCTGTGCAAGCTACATGGGAAGCGACATAGGAAATTAATTTCGAACCTGGCGATGGTGCAAGAATCGGAAATGATTAGAGGGCCCGATGGGTAACCTCACTTCCAAGCCAAATCGCCACAGTGATCATTCATCATGCTCGTGGTCAAAAGAACTGAGTAACAAGAGAGCCCGAGGGGCAACCTCACCTCTGAAACGACCCGCGTCAGTGGTGACAGTTTCCCAGAATGGCAGCCCCCCAGGGACGGCGAGGTCTAATCTGAATCTGGGTGGTGCCTCGCTCCGCGGGACTGACCAGCAGCCTTCGAAAGTGGTGACAGTTTCACAGATCGCAGCCCCCCCCAGGGATGGTGAGGTCTAATCTGAATCTGCGTGGTGCCTCACTCCGCTGGACCCACCAGCAGCCCTCGAAAGTGGTGACCGTTTCGCAGATCGCAAATCTGCATCTTCGTGGTGCCTCACTCCGCTGGACCCACCAGCAGCCCTCGAAAGTGGCGACAGTTTCGCAGATCGCAGCCCCCCAGGGATGGCGAGGTCTAATCTGAATCTGCGTGGTGCCTCACCCCGCTGGACCCACCAGCAGCCCTCTAATGTGGCGACAGTTTCGCAACCAGCAGCCCTCGAATGTGGCGTCAGTGTCGCAGATCGCAGCCCCCCAGGGATGGCGAGGTCTAATCTGAATCTACGTGGTGCCTCACTCCGCTGGACCCACCCTCAGCCCTCGAATGTGGCGACATTTTCGCAGATCGCAGCCCCCCAAGGATGGCGAGGTCTAATCTGAATCTGCGTGGTGCCTCACTCCGCTGGACCCACCAGCAGCCCTCGAATGTGGCGTCAGTGTAGCAGATCGCAGCCCCCCAGGGATGGCGAGGTCTAATCTGAATCTGCGTGGTGCCTCACTCCGCTGGACCCACCAGCAGCCCTCGAAAGTGACGACAGTTTCGCAGATCGCAGCCCCCCAGGGACAGCGAGGTCTAATCTGAATCTTCGTGGTGCCTCACTCCGCTGGACCCACCAGCAGCCCCCGAAAGTGGTGACAGTTTCGCAGATTGCAAACCCCCAGGGATGGCGAGGTCTAATCTGAATCTGCGTGGTGCCTCACTCCGCTGGACCCACCAGCAGCCTTCGAAAGTCGAGGTCTAATCTGAATCTGCGTGGTGCCTCACTCCGCTGGACCCACCAGCAGCCCTCGAAAGTGACGACAGTTTCGCAGATCGCAGCCCCCCAGGGATGGCGAGGTCTAATCTGAATCTGCGTGGTGCCTCACTCCGCTGGACCCACCAGCAGCCCTCGAAAGTGGTGACAGTTTCGCAGATCGCAGCCCCCCAGGGATGGCGAGGTCTAATCTGAATCTGCGTGGTGCCTCACTCCGCTGGACCCACCAGCAGCCCTCGAAAGTGGTGACAGTTTCACAGATCGCAGCCCCCCAGAGATGGCGAGGTCTAATCTGAGTCCCCGTGGTGCCTCACTCCGCTGGACCCACCAGCAGCCCTCGAATGTGGCGACAGTTTCGCAGATCGCAGCCCCCCCCCCAGGGATGGCGAGGTCTAATCTGAGTCCCCGTGGTGCCTCACTCCGATGGACCCACCAGCAACCCTCGAAAGTGGCGACAGTTTCACAGATCGCAGCCCCCCAGAGATGGCGAGGTCTAATCTGAGTCCCCGTGGTGCCTCACTCCGCTGGACCCACCAGCAGCCCTCGAAAGTGGCGACAGTTTCACAGATCGCAGCCCCCCAGAGATGGCGAGGTCTAATCTGAGTCCCCGTGGTGCCTCACTCCGCTGGACCCACCAGCAGCCCTCGAAAGTGGCGACAGTTTCACAGATCGCAGCCCCCCAGAGATGGCGAGCAGCCCCGTCGAAAGTGGTGGCGACAGTTTCACAGATCGCAGCCCCCCAGAGATGGCGAGGTCTAATCTGAGTCCCCGTGGTGCCTCACTCCGCTGGACCCACCAGCAGCCCTCGAAAGTGGCGACAGTTTCACAGATCGCAGCCCCCCCCCAGAGTTGGCGAGGTCTAATCTGAGTCCCCGTGGTGCCTCACTCCGCTGGACCCACCAGCAGCCCTCGAAAGTGGCGACAGTTTCACAGATCGCAGCCCCCCCCCAGGGATGGCGAGGTCTAATCTGAGTCCCCGTGGTGCTTCACTCCGCTGGACCCACCAGCAGCCCTCGAAAGTGGTGACAGTTCCGCAGATCGCAGCCCCCCAGAGATGACGTAAAAGGCAAGAGAAGAGAAGAGAAGAGGAGGAGCGAAGAGAGGAGGAAAAGGAAAACAAGAGAGGAGAGGAGGAGGGAAGAAAGGGGGGGGGCGGGAGGAGGAGAACGGAGACCGCAGTGCTCTATTCAAAACGAGTACCCAACGCAGGAGGGTTGGGAAAAAAACGGGGTCTTCTGCGCCGACAGTGGCGCGTAAGCTGCCCGCGTAAGTTCGCGCGTGAGCGCCCTCATCTTCAGTGTGGCGTGCCGCGCTGGTGGCCCGCGTGAGCCACCTCGTGAGGTCGCCGTGCCACCTCGCGTGAGGCCCGTTTTCGATCGGCGCGCAGGTGGGAAGCGAGATAAGCGCCGTGAGCGAGCGGAACGCGGTGCTGCACAGCGCCCCCCCGGCCGAGGAGGAGCTCTGGGCACCCGGCGGCGTGACCAGGCTCTGGCACCAGGAGGGCATACACATGGAGAAGGTCACCGGCGTGACGCTCGCCCGGAAGAGCGGCCCCCCAGCCGCGGCGGTGGCGTCTTGCTCGGCCGTCGGAGGAGGAGAAGGTACCCATACCCCTGCCCTTTTTTTCTCGTTTTCCCCTGTTTTGGTCCTCCTCGGAGGCCCTCGCCGCCACCGCTGGCTTCGCCTCGAAGCCTCAGTCAGAACGCACCCCTTCTGGAGAGGTCCGGGGAGCAGCGGCATCGGTACCGTTTTGGTCTCCCCGCAGGTTGATGGCACGACCGTGGTGCACCTGCTGGAGGACGGGGCCCCGCAGCCCGAGCTCCTGGGCGTCGTCGCCTCCCCGGACGCCGGGGCCATCAGCGCCGCCGCCTTCGTGCCCACCGACGACGTGGAGTGGGTCCTGGCGTGCGGCGGCACCGAGTGCTGCGTGAACATCTGAAGGCGGCACAGCCCCCCCCCCCCCGAGCCAGGGCCGCCACTCCCGACCTCATGATCCAGGTGGTCCCTGCTGGGCGTGGGGGTGGTGTGTCAGGCCCCCGGGAACTTCGACAAGGGGGTGGGGGATCTTGTTTTGGAGGCCTCGGGGGCCAGAAAGCCACCCTCACACCCGGCCAGGAACCCCCGGATCACCAGGTCCGGAGTGGAGCTCCTGGCTGGGGGTAGGGATCCCCCACCCCCCTTTTGAAGTTCTTGGCCACAAAGCCACCCTCACGTCCAGCGAGGACCACCTGGATCACCAGGTGCAGAGCGGAGCTCCGGGTGGGGATCTCACACCCCTTTTGAAGTTCTTGGGGGCCCAAAAACCACCCTCACACCCAGCAAGGATGATGGGCTTGTTTTCCACCACCACCATAACTTGGAGGGGGAGGGAGTCCTCCTCCTGCTCCTCCACCTCCACCTCCTCCTCCTCCTCCTCCTCCTCCTCCTCCTCTTCGTTCTCCTCCTCCTCCTCCTCCTCCTCCTCCTCCTCCTCCTCGTCCTCCACCTCCTTCCCCACTTCAACTATGGTGGTGGTGGTGGTGGTGGTGGGAAACAGGCCCATCAAAGGACCTGGCTGGGGTGGGGGGTGGGCTGCGCTGCCCTCCACATCTACTCCGAGATGGTCCACGGCTCGGACGCCGAGACGGCGCGGCTCGCCAGCGCTGCCGAGGTCGTCTCGCTGGCGGGGCGGGCGCCGGGGCTTCTGGCGGTGGCCGCCGGGCAGGCGGTCACCGTCTGGGACCTCAACGCGGAGAGCGAGGAGCCGGCCCTGGAGCACAGTGGCGAGCTGCTGCAGGCCCCGGAGGGGAAGAATGACGATAAGACAAATTAAGACAAATGAGACAAAGAAGACGACCAAGAAGGATCAGCACTGTACTAATTGTGAAAACCAGGAAGAGAAGGCACACAGCGTGAATAGTAAGGTGAGTCGTAATGAGCATAGCGATGCTAATACTAAGACGAAGCACTCATGCGAATACGAGCACTAATGCGGATACGAAAGCGAATGCGTGCGCTGATTCTTCTACTGGACATACTAAGTATGACCATGCTCATATTGACACGAACGCTCCAGGCGTATTCCTATTTTCTTTGCTAAATCGGTACCGCCATGCTTCTTTCCTTTGTCTGTCTCAGACGCGCCGTTGGCCATATAAAGAGTCTACATGCACCTGCGTGTGGGATGGGGCGCGCGCGAACCTCCGCCGCTGTGGCTGTGCGTTGCTCGCTCGAGCTTTCGAGGCCTCACTCAGTGGTTCAACCGCTCCCCCTTCCAGGCCAAGAGCTCCTGCATGCGCTCGGGGCAATTGGGGCATGTGATACCCGCGGAGGGCGCGGCGCCCCGCTTGAAGCAGTGGCGATGATACAAGGTGAAGATTCGCGCGCGCCCCCTCGCCCCCCCTGCCCCCCTTCTCCTGGGCTGCTCTGCAACTTTCTAACCCCAGGCGGGGTGGCGCCTACGCCTGTACAAGCAAGGGTCGGCGTGCCTGCGGCGGTGCCTGCGGTGTCTGGGCAACGCCTGCCCCCCAGCTTTCGACGTGCCGGAGGCGCCTGCGACTTACCACGGGCGGTGCCTACGCCGACGACAGCCCATGCCCGTGACGCCTGCGCTGGCAGCGCGATGGCAAGGAGAAGCCTGCACCCTGTCAGTTGACGTGCCTGCGGTGCTTGCGCCAGGCCGCGCGCGGATGCATCCACGGCCCCAGCGGCGCCTGCGCTGACAATTCGGCAGCGAGGCGATGCTCGCACCCTGTTACTTGACGTGCCTTCGGTGCCCGCGCCTAGCCATGCGCAGTGCTCGCGCGGATGCATCGACAGCCCCGGCGGCGCTTGCGCTGACAATTCGATAGCGAGGCAATGCCTGCACCGTTTTGTTTGGCGTGCCTGCGGCGCCCGCGCCCATGGAGCGACAGTGCCCGCGTCGCGTGCGTTCGCGCAGCCACGACGAGGCAACGCCCACACCACGTACTATTTAACGTGCCAGCGGTGGCCGCGCCTGGCCACGCGCAGCTTCTGCGCTGGTGCACGTGCAGCTGTCGCGGCCGCGATCACGATCATCTGCAGTGCACCCTGTCCCGCGGATCGGCCTGGATAGTTATGTGAATTGGGAAAGCGCTTGTACGAATAATCAAAAGAGTCATAATAGCAATCATGTCAATATGGATTCAGATTGCAGGGTCCCGCACGGCAATCCCTTTAACTTGCTTGGGCGCGATCCTCATCGTCGTCCGTGTGAATTTGGAGGCCCTCTTCCTTTCTCTTCTCCTTCCTGGGGCACGCGAACATGTCTTCCTTGGCACGTTCGCCGCCTCAACCGGCATAGGCACGTCGCCGCTGAAGCTCCTCTACCTCCCGGTCGTTCCCGTGGTCCCAATCCTCTTCGTTCGCTTCTTCCCGTTATTTCCCCATTCTTTATGTCCCCTCTTCTTCTTCCTCCTTTCGCTCGATTCGCAATCGTATGCACCACGATCACCACCATCATCATGATCAGCAGCAGCAGCAACAGCAATAACCGCATCAGGTTCATGATCGTTCCCTTCCTCCCTCCGCTGGTGGTCTTTGGGGACCTCTGGAGCCTTCTTTTTTTTTTCGCTGATAACAAAGCACCTACACGCTTAAGGAGTTCTCCCCTTCCTCCTCCTCCTCCTCCTCCTCCTCCTCCTCCTCCTCCTCCTCCTCCCCTTCCTCCTCCTCCTCCTCCTCCTCCTCGTTCTCCGTTTTCCTCCGTTTTCCCCGTGCCTCTTCCGTGTATTCCGTTCCATCAGTTTTTTTTATAAGCAAATCCCTTTTGTTGAATTCCCAAACATGTCGGTGGGGCGGGCCAGGCGTTTCGCTTGAGACTTCCTCGCCACCTGTAATCCTGAAGCTTGAGATCCTGCAGCAATCTCACGGATGGAGGGCGGGTGGTTTTCAAAATGCAATTCTCGCTTTAGAGCCGCGCGCATTCGCCTCAAAAACTTGCAGCACTTTCAAGGATGGGGGGCGGGTAGTTTTCAAATTGGGGTTCTCGCCTCAGCGGTGCGCACGTTTGTTTCAAAATTGTCGACAGTTTCGTTAATGGAGGGCGGGTGGTTTCCAGCATGTAGCCCTCGATTTAGCGCCGAGCACATTCGTTTTCGAAGCTTACAGCAAGGATTCGCGTGGCCGAAGTCCCAGGATTTGTGGTCTGGCAGTGTTTAGGATTTCCAGGACGCAACAGGTTCACGTATTCGAGGTGTTGAAGTCCCAGGAACGGCGTCCTGGTACGATGTAGAGTTGCCAAGATGCAGCAATCACGATGACCCGCCACGTTCAAGTCGCAGGAACGGTATTTGGGCACGATTGGGGATTCTCAGACCATTGTTTTCTAATGGGCCATTCCCCGCAATGAAAATCGTGTTTGGGACCTATGAGGAGGGAGCTTGGAGGGAGTGTATATTGCAACATGGTTGGTGCATCGTTGGTTTACATTGGTCTCCATCCTCCTCGTCCGCCTCCTGATCCTACGTTTTCCTGCCTCGCCCACCTACCTCCTCCTCCTCCGGCCGCCTCCTCCTGTAGGGATGCCTCCCCTTTCCAGATTCAGTCCTCAGGAGCCCCAAATTGACGACAGCTGCAGGATTTAGATGACCGCCTCGGATTGGTAACATGATTTGGGGGGCTCCACAGGGAGGGTTCCCGCCCAACACTTCCTCGCGATTCAGTCACAGATGAGGCTCCCGCTCCAGATTTTGTCCAGATTCGCAAAGGAGCTCACGCGAGCGCAGAGCTGACGCAGAGCTTGCGCGGAGCTAACGCAGGACGTTGTACAGCGCGGGCCCTATGCGGAGGAGGGTCCCGCTCGAGATTTTCTCGCAACTCATTCGCAGACGAGGCTATCGTTCGAGAAATCTTCCAAATGCAAGACTCAGACGCCCAAAACTTGACAACAGTTTCAGGTTTTGGGATGACCGCCTCGGACTGGTAACGTGAAGTGCGGGCCCCATAGGGCGGGGGCTCGATGTCCTCGCGACTCACTTACAGATGAGACTCACGCTCGAGCCTTTCTCAGGATCCAGGGCTCCGGCGGCCAAAAGTGACGACAGTTACAGATGTTAGGATAACCGTTTCGGATGGGCAACATGCGATTCACTTACAGACGAGACTCATGCTCGAGAACTCCTTTTATTCAGGCTCTAGGCGCCCGAAAATAACGACTCTTACAGATTTGTTGGATGACCGTGTCGAATTTCTAATGCGAAACGCGGGCCACATCGGGAGGGGACTCCCGCTCGAGACGTCCTCGCGATTCACTCACAGACGAGGATTCCGCTCGAGACATCCTTTGGATGAATTCTCGAGTGCGTGCGTGTGTGAATGTGTGCTGGCCTCCGAATCGAAGGCGCCCAAACAGGCCAGGAGTGGGCGGGCTGTTTCGCTACGTGCCGCAGCAGCGTCGCGGTGCAGACACCACCGATCGGCATCCAGAGTGCGCCGTCTCACTGACTCGTGCCACCGACGTCTCCAGGTCCAATTCGCAAGCTCAAAAGGTTGCGTGGACACCGTATGCGGACGTGATAAGCCGTGACGGCCAGGGGTTCGGAACCAGCCAGTCAGGATGGGATTGGGTCCAGGCCATTGAGGGGCGCCCAAATGCAGTTCAGGAGGGGAAGAGACAGGGCCGACACAATTTGAATGAAACCCAAAAATAGATCGTCCACGAGTTGATCGCAGCGATGGGCAACCACGGCACATGCTCCGGCGAACGGAGCCATTTAGGTGGGAGGTCTCCTAGCATGATGAGAACATGCAGCCGAGATTCGCTGCCTTCATCAAGTACCTCCAACGCAGCACCAACACGGGGCGAGGCACAAGAGATTGGAGGTCCTTGTGGGAGAGGTGGACGGAAACACATCACCGATCGAGTAGATCTACGGTGGTCAAAGATCTTTCTCTGTTCAACTCAGAGCAGCTGCGTGCTTTTACTTCGGCCACCTAGTTGGAGGCAGAGTACGTGGAATACAAGTCCAAAGGCATGGTTCAAGCGGCTGCCCCTTGGCAGCGAAGTGATCAACACGACAGGGACAGAACCCCGTACTGCGGTGCTAATCGGAGCCAGCCCAGTCGGGACCGCCGCTGGTAGCCCATTCCATGCTCAAGCCCAGAGCGGAACTGGACCTGCGCGCCCACCCAGCGCCTACCCATGGCCCTTCCAATTCTGAAAGCTTCAGATAGAGCCATGCAGCATCGCTGGCTCATGCGGGCCTGACTGGGTGGGCGGGCAGGCAGATTGCACCTCGACGGCGCCGATCAACCATTGAAACAATGGATCTGTGGCGCTGTTGACCTGGCCCCCTCCGGGCAATTTCTGCCAAGGCAGAAGACTTCCCGTGTGTGGGAGGTGCTGTGGAGGTGCATCTCCGCGCTTCGCCTGTAGGGGGCTTCGTTGGGCATGCCCGCCTATCTGCGACAAGTCTCCGCGCGGCGCGGCGCAGAGTGTCATTGCCAAAGAGGTTGCGCGCATCGGACGGGGACCAGCTCCTCTACGAGGCTGTTCGCAGTGTGCTAGCGCGACCATGTGTGAACTGCGGCCTTGCCACGACGGCGGGTTGCAAGAGTCGCCGAGCGATGCGGAGGATCCTTCGTGAGGAATGGATGCCTGGGCTCGGAGGCTGGGCGAAGGCCGGCAAATCCGTGGCTGCTGAAACGGTCTTCCCGTAGGAAAAAAAACACACGCTAAATAATAACCAGGCTGCTGCCCGGAAGAAAAGAAAACAACTTCCTGGAGCTCCGTTTCAGCAGCCACGGGTTCGCCAGCCTTCGCCCGGCTTCTGATGGGCAGCGCGCTCCGCTCTGCGTCGCGCGCAATGCGAACGAGGGGGGGCGTTACTTCCGCCGCGGCCCGCTTCGCATCCGCCCTCGGCCCCCGCCCAACTTCAGGCCGCCGGGCATCTCTCCGGCGCGGGGGGGCGAGGCTGATAGAGAACGCGGTGGCGACGTCGCGCTGCGGTCGGGAACCGCGCGCTCTAGCTGCGGCCCCGGCTTGGCTCGCGCCCATTATTGGGGAGGTTGGGCTCTGATGGTTTCAACCTGCCCGCGCTCGTCTGCTCTGGCTGAGGAGCCGGGCGTCGGCGGCTCGTCCTTCCGCGACGTCGCTGCTTCCGTTCGCTCTCCCGACCCTGCTCCCTTGCTCCTCCTTTGTTGGATGCGCCCGTGCATGTTCTGTTCGACTGCCATTGAATCCTTCGCTCGGTAATTTCGCTGGCAGCAATCGTTGGTCGCCGCCCGCGCGGCCTGGCCGCCCTCAGTGCCGAGTTCTCGCGCGCGCCCCGCCCGCGCGGCACGCGGCGCGCCCCGCGCGCCGCCCGGCGCGGCCGGGGCCGCGGCCGGAGGCGCCGCCTTCGGCGGCGCCCCCTCTTCGGCTCGGCCCCGCAGACCCCTTGCCGGCGGCGATGGTTCAGCTGCTGGGGCCGAGGCGCGGTCGGCTGACTGTCCTCTTCTCTGTCGCGCCGTTGGCGCGACCGCGCGTCTCGTCGAGCTGCCCGCGTTTCTCCCCCCCCCTCTTCGGCCGCGGCCCCCGCGGTGTCGCCCGCGGCCCCTGTCCCTGTATTTTTGCATATTGCCCATGCGGCTCAGCCGCCTGCGCCGTTTTCTGTTGGGCGCCTCGCCCTGGGCGGCCTGCGGGGGCCCCCGCGGCCGCCGGGCGCGTTCGGCGCCCTCTGCGACTTCGCCGCGCTGGGCGTCGTCGCGCGTCTCGTTCCGCGTCGCGGCCTCGTCGTCGCGCGTCGTCGCGCGCTTCCGCCTTCCCCTGGCCCCCCCGCCGAGCCGCGAGGCCGTCGTGGATCGGCGTCGGCAGCGGGGCCACTTCGCCCCCCCGCCGCATGGGGCCATGGCTCCCGTCATCTTTTTGGGCCCTCTGGCCGGCCGCGCCGCGGGGGGCCTGGGCGCGGGGCTAGCGCTCGCGGGGCGCGGGGGCGCCGCGCCCCTCGTGGCCTCCCTCTCTCCGGGGGGCTGCGGTTGCCACTGGCGCGGCATGCTCTGCAGGCCGACTATTCTGGCGGGCAGTCGCTGCGCGCGCGCCGCGGGAGGGTGCGTCGTCCATGGCCGCCTCGTCGCGTCAGCGCGGCCGCGCGGCCCCTCGCGCTTTCTGCGCTCCCGTCCGCCTCCTTTTTGCTTCTGGCTGCGTCGGCGGTCGTCTGGCCGGGTGGCCAACTCGCCGCGTTCGGGCGCCCTTGCAGCAGTGTGGTCTTGTGACCCTGCGCGTCTTGCAGTCTTTGGGTGCGATCTGTTTCTAGCGCTGGCTCGTTGCGCGCCCTGGATTTTATCGCGCAGCAGTTCGGCGCTTGCAGTGTTCGGCATGGCTGATGGCGCAGTCCACGCGCGCTGCGCTTGACGCTGCAGCGCGGTGGCTCTCGCGCGCCCCTTGCTATGCGTCGTTGGTTTTCCGTTTCAACCCTGCCCGCGCTGGCGCGGTGGATTGACCCGGGCCACCCCCGTCCGTCCTCGCAGGTTTCGGGGTGCGACAGTTTCTATGTCTGCTGGCAGGTTGCGCGGTCCGAACGATTTCGTGCTCTTCGTGTCCGGTGCTTGGGGCATTGGGCGCGGGTGGCGACGCAGCTTCTGTCGCGCCGAGGCAGGCGTTGCTGAGCGTCGTTGGCCCTGCCTCGCCCGTCATCGCGGTCGCCGGCGTCGGTCCGTAGGCCGTAGGTCGACGCCCTGCCAATCTGCTTCGCAAGTCCGCCGGGGCGGCCGCGCCACCAATCTCCTTGGCAGCGTTTTTCTTTTGCGCTTCGCTGCCCAACGCCGCCCCCGTGATTCCGCGGCCGCAAGCAGCCCGGGCTGGCGCGCTTCAGTTATTTTGAGTTGAGTATTTGTCCCGTTATGCGGCCGCTGCGTGTTTCGTTTGGACGCGCAGTTCTTCTTGCGCACCTATCGCTTACATTTTGCAGTGCGCGACGCTTGTGCGCTGCGCTATCGACAATGCTCGGTCGCAGTTGGCACTTCCATCTGCGGTTCGCGCCTGAGAACCCTCTGCGTCGTTGGCTCAACGATGTGCGTGTGTGCGATGATAATGATGCTGATGGTGCTGCTGCTGTTCCTGATGATGGTACATATCGATGTTCATGATGGGTTGGCGATCGTGGCGATGGTGATGTTGATGAACGGATAGTGGCGATGATGGTGTCGATTGTGATGTTGTTGTTCATGATGATGTTGTTTTTCAATGCTGATGATTTCAATGATGATGACGCTGATATTGATGGTGATGGAGACGGTGATGGTGGTGCGTGTGAGAACGATCATAGGAGGAGAGGGTGGAAGGAGGAGGATGCGACTTCGCGGGGGATCCGGAGAAGACAGGAACCCGACTCAGGATGTGGGAAATTATTATAAGACGAATCATCAGCAAGAGATGCCATAAACTAATACTAAGAACAACTCTACTTATCATAGGTATAGGACGAAGTTTGACATTCAGACACGTACTAACAGCATGATCTTTGCATTTCAGCGCATTAGTGATGCAACATAAGAGCGGGACTACGAATACGAATGAAGATGAGGAGTGAATTGAGCATCGTGCATAGTGCGAAGGCGAAGGACATTAGTTTTGCTTAATACTGCTATTGCCAATCATCACGATAGTGATATGGGTGATACGAATGCTAATACGACTAAGAACAATAATGACAATGATACCAATAGTTACAACAATAATATTATTATTATTCAGAATAACGGTAATATGCAACTGTGTAAGCATGGTCTAAGCTTTCAGCTCGGGGGTTCGCGCGGATATGTATTGGGGCGGCGCTGGGCCCCCATCTTGGCGTGTCTCGCCAGGGGGGTCAGCGCCGGTCCATGAAGTATCCACGCGGGCCTCCGAACGGTTGTGCTCGTGTGCTGCTACTTGCTCCCCCGAGGTCCACATGCCGGCGAAGGACCTGCTCGTCGCGCTCAGCCAGGGCGCTGGCGGGGCCGCCGATCCCCCGTGCGTGTCGCTGTGGGACCTGCGGCAACGGCGGCGGGTTCTGCAGCTCGTGACCCGGTTGTGGGGGAACCAGAAGGATGCCGATACCGATGCTCCCCGGACCTTTCCCGGGGTGCGTTCTGACCAGGACTGTCGGGCGCGAGTGAACGGATGGCGATACATGGGGCCCGAAAGGTGTCCTTTGGGGCCCTAAAGGGTCCCTCGAGGGGCTCTATAAAGGTTTCCTTTTTCTGCAACCCTCGCTGCCCCCCATCTATCGCCCCCCACAGATTGCGTGGCGAACCCAGCCGTGGCGACGAGGGCCTCCCAGGAGCCCCCACAAAGCGGGGCGGCATCGGCACTTTTTTGTTTTCCTCCTCGCAGGCTGGGCCCCGGCGAGTGCTTCCTGGGCGCCACCGCGCAGCTGCCCCAGGCCGGGCTCCTCGCCGCCGCGGCGGGCACGGCGGTGCAGACGTGGGACCTGCGGCGGGCCGTGCGGCCCCTGCACAGCTGCGACGACCTGGGGCTCCCCTCGGGCGCCTCGGTCTCGGCCCTGGCGGTGGACGGCGCGGGGGAGCTGCTGGCCCTCGGCATCTTCCAACCTATCCTGGTCCCCACCGGGCCCGGGGACCTTAGCCCAGCCAGCCCGCCCTCCCAGGCGGGGACGGGTCCCGCGAGACCCGGGGGAACAGGCGTGTATCCCTACCTGGGGCCTCCCTCGTCGTCGTCCTCTTCATCCCTCGTCCCCTGTCTTCTCCTCCTCCTCCTCCTCCTCCTCCTTCTCCTCCTCCTCCTCGTCCTCCTTTTCCTCCTCCTTCTCCTCTTTCTCCTCCTCTTTCTCCTCCTCCTCCTCCTCCTCCTCCTCCTCCTCCTCCTCCTCCTCCTCCTCCTCCTCTCCTCCCCCTCCCCCCTCCCCCTCCTCCTCTTCCTGCCGATCCACTCTCGTCCTCCTCTTTCCTTCTCTTCCTCCTCCTCCATCCTCCTCCTCCTCCTCCTCCTCCTTTTCCTCCTCCCCCTCCTCCTCCACCTTCTCCTCCTCCTCCATCCCTCCTCCTCCCTCCTCCTCCTCCTCCTCCTCCTCCTCCTCCTCCTCCTCCTCCTCCTCCTCCCTTTCTCTCTCCTCCTCCTCCCTCCTCCTCCTCCTCCTCCTCCTCCTCCTCCTCCTCCTGGTGAAAGGCCGTCGTGCAACTCGGTCGCCACAGCTGCGCTCAGTCGCCCCGCCCGTTTACGTGATGGCCCCTGGACGGGCTTCCTGGAGCCACGGGGCCTCCTCGTGGCGAGTCGGCCAGTGGGGCCGATGGCCACGCCAGTGGGGAGAGGGATCGGCTTCACGATGCTCAGGTTAAGTCGGGCCTGTCCCTCTACAGGAGGAATATTCAAAAATAGTAAAACAATAGTCTGGGGATTATTTTTTGAATATGTTTGGGCATCTTTTGAGCATGTCTTGCGTATTTTTAATTTTTCGTCCGGAATCCCCCTGTAGGGGGACAGGCCCGACCGAATGCTCAGGCCCTGGCCCACGGCGGCGGCCCCGGCGGCGCGTCGGCCGTTTGCCTCTGCGCGGTCGGCGCCGCGCTGGGGGTAAGGCCGTGCGAGTGGGAGTCCGCGGAGGCCATGCAGACGGGCCACAGCCGGGGGAGCTGTGATCCCGAGCCTCAGAGAGCCCAGGGTTCGCTAAGGGCCGGCTTCCCCCCAGTGCAGCAGGGACCGGCCGCCCGAAGCCCTCCCATAGCCCTCTGTGTGGAAAGCCTCCCAGAGCCCTTCTGGGAGGGCTCTTCAACCATTTTGAAGGGAAGCCAGTCCTCAGCGAACCTTGATTGTCAAACCTTCTCCCCTTCTGGGGGACCCATCGCATTTGACGCCCCTCTCGAGTGATCGTAGATACGATGGGTTCCCATAGGGGAGCACGGAACCCAGATCCCCGACGTCATGAGTTTTTCATGACGTCGACCCCCAGAGATCTCGACCCACTCCCCGGGACCGGCTTTTCATCCCGAGTCGTTTTTTGACGGTCCCGCGGCCCGGCGAGGGCCTCTGGAAGCCGCAAACAGCGAAAAACCTCCCGCCGTGATTCTCTCATGACTCGAGGGGGTCTGGGAACACAGCTCCCCCAGCTGTGGCTGGTCGGCCATCACCGCGATGGAGTTCGCGCCCCGCGCTCCGGGTGGGGCGGCCGGTGGCCGGTGCCTCCTGGTCGGGGCGCACGGCGCGGCCGGTGCGTGCCTCTCGGCCCTGGACATCGGGGGCTGAGAGGTCGACATGCCCAGCGCGGGGGGGGCAAGGAGCTCTCGCTGCCTCCTCCTCGCCCTCTCGCTGCCTCCTCCTCCTCCTCCTCCTCGCCCTCTCGCTGCCCCCTCCTCCTCCTCCTCGCCCTCTCGCCGCCTCCTCCTCCTCGCCCTCTCGCTGCCTCCTCCTCGCCCTCTCGCTGCCTCCTCCTCGCCCTCTCGCTGCCGCCGCCGCCGCCGCGGCCGCCGTCGTCGTCGTCGTCGTCGTCGTCGTCGTCGTCGTCGTCGTCGTCGTCGTCGTCGTCGTCGTCGTCGTTGTCTTCTTCGTCGTCTTCTTCGTCGTCGTCAGCGTCGTCGTTGTCGCCGTCGTCGTCGTCCCCGTCCCCTCCATCCCTGTAGGTGGTAGAAGGTTTGAAAACGAATGTGCGCAGCGTTAAGGCGAGAGCTGCACTTTGAAAACGGCAGGCCCTCCGTGCTCGAAGCTGTTGGAAGCTTTTAGAAAGAATGTGACGGTGCTGTGGCGAGCGGCGAAAGCCGCATTACTACTGGCCTTACATCCTCGAAGCAGTTG